AAAATGGTTGTCAAATAATGCGTGGAAGAGGTGCTATGAAGAGAGACATTGATAAAGCGGAAATTTCTAAATAATCACATTGCATGACTCCCATTAACATGGATAGAATATGTTCATTTTGAGAAGTTTGATGATGAAAGTGACGCACAGGACAAATGCACAAGGGCCAAGGTGCTTGAGATCAAGATACAGAAATGAATTTGAATCTAGCAAAATTGCTGCAGCGAATCCAGATTTCCAGATCTCGGTCACTTTTCAAATTAAGTGTATAGTTGATGAAATGAAGTTACATGTCTTTCATCTATTTAGTTTTCAGCTGTAGTTACATGTCTGATCAGTGATGTTTTTGAATACATTTTTTAAATTGTGCAACAAGTTTTTCTGGTTATTTACATTCTTTGAGCTGTGCTTTGGATTTTCCATTGGCATTAGATGTGATGAATTTTACTTTATTACAAATTTTGATTATTTTAATACTTTTCATTTTATTATTATACTTCGTATATATTAAAACTAACACTAAAAGCACGTAATGTTAAATGCAAACATGATCAGGAATCACCAAATGTATGTTGCACAACCCAAGAAACATTGTCGCTCAGAAATGTAAAAAAAGTGTTGCATACTTGAATTAAGTGTTATTTAAAGTACTAATTAAAATGTTACGTAATGTATTGAGTGTTGCAAAACAATATGATAGTTATGTTACATATACATGAAAAATGTTGCCTAAAGTCATAACATAAGTGTTACATTTTATTAGAAAAAGTGTTACATAAGATGTTGACTAAAGTGTTACAAAAAAAGTGTTGTGTTTGGGGTATTGATGCAACATTTCTATTTAATGTTGCATAATCAGATGAAAAGTGTTGCTTATGACTTTATGCAACGAGATCTGAAGCAACGCCTCTAAAAGTGTTGCAATAGCCTTTGGTAACACTTTAATGGCTTCTTGCAACATTTTAGAAGTGTTACAAAAAGTCTATTTTGTTGTAGTGTCATCACCTCACCCCTCTCCTTCCATGTCAACCAGCCCCCATGTTTGTCTACTCTAGCACATAAAAACGTGGGGTGGCCCCCACTCATGTGGGAGGTCATCCCCTTGTGTCCCGAAGTGTACAATCGGCCCCGAAAGTTGTATTTTTCGGACTGTTTTAAATATAATTTATTTTATCGGGTCGAATAAAATATTTTATGTGTTCTTAATCATTATGACACTTATGAAGAATATACATCCCCCAACTTTAATTTATAAGTCTCCGAAATTTATTTCGGGCTGTTATCTGTTAAATTACCAATACCGGTAATTGAGCCCCTTTTGACCAATCGGTCCACATTATGTCATTTATTTGGACCAAATAAATTTCCCACCACCATATAAATATTATCTAGACCAAGATAAATAAAATATATGGTTTCGGGAATTACGGGCGGCCCCCGCTCCCAGTGTGGGCCCCGCGTGCGAATTTACTATTCACGCCAAAGAGTTGATAAAACTTCACAACTTCATACTCATTAACCATTCCATAAGGTTCAATACATTATTCACTTAAAAGTAAATACATTTGGGGACGGTGTTACAAGGTAAGTAATCTCTTTCACAATTTATTTAATGAATTTCATGCTCAATATGCTAGCGTACCCCCTCACCCGAGACCCACTGCATCTTCATCGTCATCTAGATGTCTTTTTAAATCAACTATAGCAAATCTTTTGAAAAAAAGTAAATCTACTCCTGCTGTTGCTCAAAGCTCGACTAACGAGCTTTCGTTATATCTAACATTTCCTGTTGAGTATAATGAAGGTGAAGAATTTGACATTCTCCAATGGTGGAAGACCCACGAAGGGATGTTCCCCATTTTGTCAAAAATGGCGCAACAAGTGCTCTCGATGCCGGTTTCAATAATAGCTGTGGAACAAGAGTTTAGCGCAGCCGGGAATGTGTTAACCGATTATAGAACGAGGTTGAGCGGCCAATCTCTCGAAACACTTGTATGCTTCCATGATTGGTTGAAGGCCCGGCGTAAAACTCAAGAAGTCAACATCGTACCGGACCGCCATTTCATGGAGGAAACGACTACCGACGGCGGCGGAAGCAGTTCGGACGGCGACTATTAGACTATTAGAGTATTAGTTCCTTACTTTTCAATTGTAAATTTGTAAAACTATTTCACTGTTTGTATTGTATTCAATTTAATGTAAAATAATTGTTCTTGTTTATAATAAAAGTTGTATTTTTTTCCTATAATTACTCTTATTTAAATAAATGTATACATTTCAAGTATAAAACTTATAAGTTTAATATTTTAAAATTAAACTTATAAACTTGAACTTGTAAACTTAAATTTTAACTTACAAAATAACAACTAAAAAATTTTAACTTATAAACTATAAAACTTATAAACTTTAAAACTTTAAAACATGAAAACTTTAACTACTTAAAAACTTAAAAGCTTTGAAATTATAAACTTAAACTTTTAATATAAACTTTTAAATTATACACTTAAACTTATAAACTTTTAATTCCTATTTTAGGTATTAAAAAAAATATCACATTGTAAAAATTACATTTTAAAAAAAATAATTTACTGGGCCCGGACCGGACCGACCCGGGTCCGGGACCGCTTGGGTACCCGGGACCGGACCGGGACCTCTCCCTACCCGGGTCGGGCTCGGTCTCAAGAATCCTACCCGAGGCCCGGCCGGTCCGGGACCGGAACCGGGATCGGACCAAGCCCGGGTCCATCCCTAGTGGCCCCTCCCCGTTTAAACATTTAATTAAAAAAATTAAAATGTAACTGTTGGGACCGGAACCGCCCGGCCCGGTTCCCAAATATCCAGCCCGGGACCGGGTACGAAGTTTACCCGGCCAGGTACCCGGTCTTAGACCGAGATCGACAAAGCAGACTCGGTCCATCCCTATTGGAGTATTGGGGAACGGAGCCGGGACCGCCCGATCCTAAAATATGTGACCCGGGACCGGGTATATGATTTACCCGGTCAGGCACCCGGTCTTAGACCAGGACCTAATTTTCGGACCCGGTCCGGGGAGCAGTAAAAAAATATTGAAAGTTATTACCTCACTACCAGAGTTAGCTAAGTGTTACTAGCTCACTGCTATAGTTAGCTTACTTCTGGTTAAATGTTTGGAATAGCTAATTCTTCATATATTTAGGTTTTTGTTGCATCCCTTAAATTCATAGAATAGCTACAGATTTATATTCATTTCAGCGATTCGCATGTCTACTATCCCTTACAAAAGCTGCTTTATTGCATCATAATGACATAATTTAATTCAAAACCACTTTTCATCATACTTCTCACAAAATAAAACATACGTATAGATAATTAGATAGATAATTACATACATACGAGATTTACATATTAGCCATCAAACAACACGGCGGGAGAAATATCAGAAACCAAACACTAAAATAGGCAGAGAAACAGGCGGCGAACGCGAACCAATACAAACTCCAAAAACCAGGCGGCAAAACAGATGGGGGACGCGAACCCGACGAGCAGCTACGATGAATCTTCTTTGCTGCGAAGGGGGCAAGTTAGAGAGAAGTTGATTGTGGTCTTCAAGTCTAGAGTTCCAGGCTTAGGGGTAAGTATGTGGACGGCGGATGAGCGGATCTATAAAGTTATAAACTATAAGTATTACGTACTAAACCTGCAAGCTGCGACCCATTCAGTTTAAACGGTATGTCGGTTTTTAACCGATCCAAACCGGACCATTCGGTTTGGAAAGAATTATACCAATCGGGTTATTTGAGGTAACCAAAACCAATCCGAACTCCATTTTTTCGGTTCGGTTCGGTTCGGGTCGGTTGACCAAGACCATTTTGCCCAGCCCTACTAGAGATCATCTTGAAAAAGGGTTCCCTAAAGCACTAAATGAAATTGGGGTCTTTAGAGGTTTAATACTTTAGTACTGTAGTGGTGTAATCTCTCTAGTTCTCTTTCTATTGTAATAAAATAGTAAACTAATACAGTTAATGTAAAACTAAATATGCAAAAGAAGTAGAGCTTAAAGTTACCTCCTGCAACGTAATGCATATAGATTATGCATTATAAGTAATTAGCAAAAAGAACTCGGAAAAAATAATTAAAAACTATTGCACTAATGGACGCAGGAAAATGGATATAGTTCATATCTAGAGTCGGTCTACAACATCATTGATAGACTAAGTCAATGGATATATGCCATGTTTAGAATTCATTAGCATGACATGTGATCCCTATGTCATTGACTGATATGACTAAGGTCTATAGGTCCATAACAACATATTATTGATGTGGTGTGCCATGCGCCAAAAATAAGGCTATGACAAACTTTATTCCACCATGCTTGAAGAGCCTTAGCCATCCCAGTGTGTGTTAAGCTTTTAACGCATATCTAGGAGTAGTTATACACTTCCGTTGCAGTTGTTTGCCGAACCAAAGAGGCTGCAAACCTTAGGGTGTTTACGAATATGTTGCGGGCACTTGTAGAGAAGATCTTTTGCCCCGGAGAGCCTACCCTCAAAAAATGATTCAAATCCGTGGTGGTATGCTGGGATAGATGGATGTCCCTTACTAATGGCCTGCAGAAACTCCATTGCATCCTCTACTGTCCCTAGCTTGGAAATATAATTATAAAAAGGTTCTACAAAAGGTGGAAAATTGATATTCTTCATTCCACGAAGTAGAACCAGTGCTTCTTCATGTTTCATTTCCCCCATCAACATTTGAATCAGATTCTTATATGTTGCTTGCCATGGTAGGGCGTGAGTCTTAGCCACCATCTCTTTTAGCAATTCATAATTTCATATGCTCCTAATTTTCCCTGATTGAGAAAACCGTTTATTAATACATCCAAGAGATCACCATCAGCATCAACATTTTTCTTCACTGTCTTAGCAAGACAAAGCAATGCTTCGTCTACTGCATTAGCTTCACAGTGGCCTTTGATAAAAAAGAGTTCAAGTCTTGATATCATGATTGCAATCTGAGTCCTACCATTGTATCTATTACCTCAGAGGCTTCCTCCATTGTTCCTGCTCTACAAAATCCATGAATCAATTGGTTAGTAATAATTTTAAATAAATGAATAAAATAACTAAGTACGTAAATCATATTAAAAAACAAAGGGAGAAAAGTCTCCACTTTTCAATAGTTGTAGACGCATCTTAGACAAACATCATAAGGCTTAACATTAGAAACAGTAGCAAACTGTTACAAGGATAAGTCACGGGAATAGGAATTAGTTTGCCTCAAGCAATGAGTGTCTTCTTTTAAAGACTTCTTCTCCTGTTCCTCCTTCTTCGCCTCTGCTCATCCTTCATCTTCTTCGCTTCTGTTTTCTTTGCCTTCGTATCAGAGGCCTCAGCCTTTGCCTTCGAATCAGGGGCCTCAGCCTTTGCCTTCGTATCAGGGGCCTCAGCCTTTGTCTTCGTATCAGGGGCCTCAGCCTTTGCCTTCGTATCAGGGGCCTCAGCCTTTGCCTTCGTATCAGGGGCCTCAGCCTTTGCCTTCGTATCAGGGGCCTCAGCCTTCGTATCAGGGGCCTCAGCCTTTGCCTTCGTATTAGGGGCCTCAGCCTTTGCCTTCGTATCAGGGGCCTTTGACTTTGTACAAGGGGCCTCGTCCAACCTGTTTGTGTCAAGAGAAAAAGAAAATTAAGTTAAAATTTATCCTTATGGTCATAAATCATTTAAAAAAATGTAAGAGATCAGCATGACAAACCATGGACAGAATTCTTCGAAAAAAACTTTTAGGAAACCCCTATAAGAAAATCACAACGATAATTATGATGAATAAATAAATAAATAAGTAAATAAATAAATAAATAAATAAATAAATAAATAACTTAGAAGAGAGAGTGAATCATTTACCCAAATTGAAATTTATTGAGAGAGTTAAAACCACGTACTGCTGGGGTAAATAAATCAATGTTTTTTGAAACGTAATCATGCACCCAATGGCTATTGCTCACAGTATTGGTGTCTCTTTCATCTACCTTGTCCGGGTATAAATGTTCTTGAGCATTTCGGTAAAAATGAAGTGGAGATAACAGTCGTCTGTTCATCTTTTTTAATACATCACGCACCATAAGAGTCTTCTCATTCGGATCACTGGGAAGTGTAATATTATGCAAAAGCAAATTCACCAAAACTTTGTCGTTTTTTATCATCTCAGTCCAGTTTTGGGGAAATGCTGTGTTCATGATCCATGCCTCCTTCTGAAAAATGTGCATGTTGCAGTACAGTATGCGGTGAAGGGCAATCAAAAATTGGATGCGCACATTCTTTGGCCAAAAGATTGGGGGCCTAAGAACCCACAATGCTCCTTTATCTCCTGGTTTACTTGGGAAAAAAGACAAATCAAGAAAATATTAGACAAATCATGATAATATAATATAACAGAAGTCATTAAAGAGATAAGTGAGAGAAGTGATTTTGGTTATAAATACTGATTACAATAAAGACAAACCGGGACACATTTTAAAAAAACTAATGGCTTATGAAACTTGAAACTTGTGGAATAACAGTGGAGAAGAATGTCTAGGGAAATGTCCGAGACCATTAGTATTCCAGCTCTCATCATTTAGATCATTTGGAAAGTGAGAAATGAGGCTAAGTTCAAAAAAGGCAAAATTGATAAAACTGAAGTCATTCAACAAGTTGGGGTCTAATTCAATAATAACCAAAGAATGAACACAAATGAGAACAGCAATTCCAAGGAAAACGCAATGTAGGGTTACTAATTGATAAACATATGGTCCAATTCAACCAAAGCAATTTAACATGTACAATTAGGAAAATCAAGCTCAAACTAGGTAGTTTCTAAGTTCAAACAATGAGTAAAAGAATTAAAAAACAGAGGTATGCAAACTTACTAATCATCGCATGGTAAGAAAGATGAGAGTATGTTGACGCAAAACATGTCCACCTCTACCACTGGTTCTGCCTTGATAATTGTCTTTGTTTTCTCCGCCTGTCTCCTACTTGGGTACTGATAGAACCTTTTAACCAGATATAGCATATCTTTTAAATCAGAACTTGGTAAGCGCTCATCTAGAGCCCTCATATTGTAGAGAAACCCTCTTGAATTGCGTATTACAGCCCCTGTAATGAGTGACCCGTGACAAGAACCGTTCTGGTGCAACCGGTAGAGGGTTCTAAATAAGGAATCAAAAATGGTAATAAAATCGGCACGTATGTACCCCCACCAGGTACATTGTTTGCTCTTCTCCCAAATATTATATTTTTCTATTAACCACTCTTCTATTTCCGAATCAAAATTCTCTATTAATACCAACTTATCGCACATGTGAATTTGGATCTTTGTTCCTAAACATCCATTAATTTCACTAAAATTATGTGGGGGCGACGAGAGGTCCCCCTGTTGATGTGGGAGCCGAGGAGGCGGTCCTGTTGGTATGGGAACTGATAAGTCTGATTTTTTCATATATTTTCACTCACTTTTTATAGCGTTTCTTGTTAAACTGAGGGCAAATTGATACATTTTTCTGCGTTTTTGTTGCATTTTTATTAATGTTTGAAATTAGTGTTGGAAGTTTAAAATTGTGATTTATTGAAGTGTTTTGACTGTTTTTGTTTTGGTTTTCACTTACTTGTGTCATATATATATATTGTAATTTTTTTTAACACAATAAACCAATGAAGTGCATTAGTTAATCAAAAGAAAAGCAAAAAAAAGACAACTGCAACTAAGCTGCGTGAAAAACGAAGAAAACATACAAAAAAATAAATAAATAAATAAAGCAGCGTGGCTGCATTTCAAAAAGCAAGCAAATAAAAGAAAACAAAAATAAAGAAAAGCAAAAGAAACCAAAAACGAAAAGAAAAACAAGGCAGATATGATGGGAGCAGTCGGCCAACAAAAAAACAAGAGGAGGAAAGTTAGCAGCCAGCTGCGGTACATGGGCGGCCAAACGAGAAGGGACAGGAGCTCGATCCATCAGTCGCAGCCAAGGAAAAAAAGAAGATAAAATCCTGGGAGAGCAGCTGGCCACAGAGAGAATACACACCCAGCTCCAATTCAAAGGAGGCAAAGGATTGAGCTGAAAATATACACCCGCAACACTCAGCCGCAAGGAGGAAAATATGTAGATCCAAGGACCGTAGGAAGCAACTAGCAGCAGGAATATCTATCCATTTACACTTGAATGTCTCTCCAGTCTCAATAAGTTTGATTTATCTTCTATCGTCTTTCAATTTTTAGCCTTGATGTTTTATGCTAGATTTCTTTCTTATACTCATTGTTGAATAAGCTTATGAACTCGTTTCTTTTTTGGATTAACTCATCAGCTTCGAATACCTCTCCATTTACATTTGAATTGATGTGTACTAGTTCGAATTTCAGTTTAATTTTATGCCTGAATTATGTCACTGTTTTGTTTATTTGTGTTAGTTTCTTGATGAATATGTTAGGCTAAATCTAGACCCCACTTTTAATTAGTTAATTTATTGTTACTAGTCACATTGAATTTACCTTTTAGCATTTTATTTTCAGAACTTTTTTCATCCACATGTTCGCTAGTTTAAATTAGTATTTTAATTTCTCTCTCAATTTATTTTGCATGTTCACTACTTTTAGTTTACTCATTAATGTCATTTAATTAAATTCCCCGCTACTAGTTTTGTTGTTTAATTTTATTTACTTAACCATTATCACAATTAATCGATTGAGAAAGCTTGCAACGACTCGTACTAACCGGTGACCGATATCGAAACCAACACTTCCCTCCGCCATTCCTCGAGAGACACGATACTCGGGGAAAAACCGAAAGGTTAGACTCCGTTTTACTACAACGCCGCGAAAGCGGTTATCAAATGGCGCCGTTTCCGGGGAGTGGCACGGTTGTAAGTTGGTTTTTATTATTGGCATAGGCGAACCCGAGTTAGTGAGACTTTCTCCTTTATTTTCTGTTTTTTTTTTGTGTTGTTTTCTCAAGTTTGCAGGATCAATTTGTAAAATCTCTCTCTTTCAAACATGGCAAGTTGCTATCATTTGCTCTCTGCCTGAAAGAACATTATTGAGAGGGTTTGATAAAAAAAAATCACCAGGATGAGGGAGAGGCAAACAGTGCTTGATGCTTTAACCTTGGACTTTTCTGAGGATGATAGCATCATTATTCCGCCAATCGATGCCACTGATTTTGAGATTAATCCTGATATCATTCAAGTGATATCAATTAATCAATTTGGCGGTTTGAAATATGAAGATCCGATATTGCATATGTTGTGGTTTAACAGAGTCTGTAACACATTCCGGATCAATGAAATGTCAATTGACATCGTGAAACTTATCTTATTCCCATTCTCTCTTCGGGATAAGGCTGTTCGGTGGTTAAATTCTTTTCAGGACAATCCAAAATTTTCTACAAAAGAGTGTGGAGATCATCAGAACAGATAATGGTACCGAGTTCAAGAATCAGTCTCTTGCTGATTTCTATGAAACTCAGGGTATCACACAGCAATTCTCTGCAGCAAAAACACCACAACAGAACGGGGTCGTTGAAAGAAAGAATAGAACTCTTGTTGAAGCAGCACGCACCATGCTCATTCAGTCAAAGCTTCCCCATTTCATGTGGGCTGAAGCAATCAACACGGCGTGCTTTACTCAAAACAGAACATCAATTCACAAGCGCTTCAACAAGACCCCATATGAAATACTCTTCAACAGAACTCCTGACATCTCATTCTTCAGAGTGTTTGGCTGCAAGTGCTTTGTTCTAAATGACAGAAATGAAAGAAGCAAGATGGATCCGAAAGCTATCGAAGGAGTATTCATTTGATACTCCACGCAATCAAAGGCATATCGGATCTATTTACGTGAACGCAGAACAGTCATTGAGAGTGTCAATGTTGCATTCTATGAAATGGCTGACTTTGCTTCTGAACATTTCTTGATAGAACCCACACTCTCTGCTCAAAGGAAGCAACCTGATGGAGCTGAAGCAACGAAGCAAACAACGGCTGACAGTGCAATTCTTGACTCTCTATTTGAACATTTCTATGAGAATGCACGCACTGCCAACCCACAATTACCAATAGAAGCTGCTCAACCACCATTCATGCCTGACCTCAGTGAAGAAGAAGCTGATTCACCTCCTACATCTGATCAAGAGGATACTGAGGATCATGGCACGGCAACAACACAAGCAACTTCACCAGCACAAGTTTCAGAAATACCAGCTCAAGCAGATACAGAACCTGAATCGACCCCTGTGCACTCCACTCCTCAACAAACCACATCTACTACTTTTGAGGACCCGGATCACCCCATCATAACTCTAATCCCTCCAACTCATGAGCGGAAATGGACGAAGACACATCCTGCAGAACAAATTATTGGAGATCCGAGTCGTGGAGTTTGCACAAGAACGGCTACAGCAAATGAATGTCTCTTTTCCTGCTTCATCAGCCAATCTGAGCCAACCAAGGTTTCTGAAGCTCTAGCAGATCCTGATTGGGTGATCGCAATGCAGGAGGAGATCAATCAGTTTGAAAGATTAGATGTATGGACCCTGGTGCCAAGACCCCAAAGAAAACAATAATTGGCACCAAGTGGGTTTTCAAGAACAAGAAGGATGAAGACGGTGTAATTATAAGGAACAAAGCCCGACTAGTTGCAAAAGGGTACAACCAACAAGAAGGAATTGACTATGATGAAACCTTTGCACCAGTGGCCAGAATTGAAGCAATCAGGTTGTTCCTTGCTTATGCTGCTCATAAGAGTTTCACCGTCTATCAAATGGATGTAAAGACTGCATTTCTGAATGGAGAACTGAAAGAAGAAGTTTACGTGGCACAACCAGAAGGCTTTGTTGATCCTGAACGTCCACATTATGTCTACAAGCTGAAGAAAGCTCTGTATGGACTAAAACAGGCACCGAGAGCCTGGTATGATGCACTATCTGATTTTCTTGTGCAATCAGGCTACTCGAAGGGACAGATAGATCCAACTCTTTTCATCAAGCGAGAGAACAGTGACATCATGATGATACAAATCTATGTCGATGACATCATATTCGCCTCGTCCAATCCGAACTTCTGCGAAGAATTCAGCAACTTGATGCGCACTGAGTTTGAAATGAGTATGATGGGAGAGTTGAACTTCTTTCTAGGGCTACAGATCAAGCAACTGCCAGACGGAATTTTCATCAGCCAGTCGAAGTACATCCATGAAATGCTCAAAAGATTCAAGATGCACAGCAAGTCAACCATGAAAACCCCCATGTCTCCCTCACAAAAGCTCGACTCTGACCCTTCCGGGATATCAGTCAATGCTACCAACTATCGGGCGATCATTGGTTCCTTGCTGTACCTGACATCTAGTAGACCGGATATTGTCTTCGCAACATGCCTGTGCGCTCGCTTTCAAGCAAATCCAAAGGAATCACATCTGAATGCAGTAAAGAGAATCCTGAGATACCTGAAAGGAATAGTCAACTTAGGACTTTGGTATCCCAAGGACACGGGTTTTGACCTTGTTGGTTACTCAGATGCTGATTTCGCAGGTTGCAAGTTAGACAGGAAAAGTACATCCGGTGGTGCTCAATTTCTGGGAGAGAAGCTAGTCTGTTGGTCCTCCAAGAAACAGAACTGTGTGTCAACTTCTACAGCCGAAGCAGAATACGTTGCGGCTGCTAGTTGTTGTTCACAAATCCTATGGATGAGGACCCAACTCAGAGACTATGGCTTCTTGTTCAATCACATCCCGATTTACAGTGACTCCCAGAGTGCAATTGCCATAACTAGCAACCCCGTTCATCACTCGCGCACCAAGCACATCGATTTGCGCTATCACTTCATCAAGGACCATGTGGAGAAAGGAGATATTGATCTGTACTTTGTAAGCACTGAGCTTCAACTGGCTGACATATTTACTAAGGCACTGGATGAAAAGAGATTCCAGTTCCTAGTATCTAAGTTAGGCATGTTGAATCTCGATCCTATGTAATCGTGTTATCTCCATGGTCTGAATAAAATGTGTGCGTGTGTGGTGTGCTGATAAGTCCATTTTTGTACTTATTTTTCTTATCAAATTTAAGCGATTTTTGAATAAAAATAGAAAGAAAAGGCATGTTTTAGATATTTTGGTTCAAGTTTCATGAAATCAGGTGAAAATCACATTCATAATATGTTTGCCGGGATTTCGGGTCAATTGAGCACAAAATGAGTCAATTTGAGTAACAAATGAAGTCATACCGGAAGAAGTAAGCATTTTATCAAGGTGATCCAGAAGGCAATCTTGGAGAGCAAGAAACGCGGGATTTATCAGACGAATTTGGCGGAGGGCGCCCAAATAGGCGCCCAATATGGCCGCCTGGCTGGCCGCCTACGGTATATCAAAGTCAACGCTCCAGTTTGACCCGAACCTGTAGAAGACAGAAAGCGGCCGACGGAGGAAGGAAGGCGGCCGCCCTTCGTGGCCGCCTGCGGCACAACGGGACAAGGCCAACCACCGGCCGGTGCGACTTGACGGCAGGCGGCCAGACAGGAACGGCAGGCGGCCGCCGTCTGGACCGCCTGCGGCTGACGTTGACGGGCTCACGTCGACCTGCCGGTGAAGACAACGGAAGGCGGCCAATTTTGGTGGAAGGCGGCCGCCCTCTATGGCCGCCTACGGCTGACGGAGACCAGCCCACGTGTCGTTGCCGGCGAGTTGACGGCAGGCGGCCAGTTGCTGCCGGAAGGCGGCCGCCTGCCCGGGCGCCTTCGGGGAAATTTTTCCTATAAATTGCCCGATTTTTCCTCAACTCAAACACACCTCTTCCAACCCTAAATCAGTTCAAAACACCTTCTTTCTTCCTCCATTTTCGAGCTCCAAAGGTTTTAGAGAGAGAGAAACTTCAAATCTTCATATCTTCTTCATTTTAGCTCCAAATTGTAAGTTCTTTATATGTATTTTCATCTTCTCAATGTGTAGAATCTGAATCTGTGCTTTGTTTCTTCGATCTGTTCTTCGAAAATTTCCAGATTATTTTTCAAGTATTTCGCATTTCCTTCCAAAAATTAAATAAAATAGTTATTGTTGTTGAATTCATTCCAATTAATTATATAGTTGTTCACTAGCCTCAAGGTAGTTATTTATCTGAAGAAATTAATTTTTCACGAACCAGAAGTAATTTTTAATTAATTTTGATGATTATTTGATATTAGTTCATAATTTAGATTAAATACTAGAAAAGAAAGAAAAAAATGAGTTCGGCCCTATTTACAGTTTAGTTAACTTAAATATCATTACTAGTAGTTAATATAAAATTTGGTACGAATTTAGAGTATTTTGTATTAATTTTCGGTAATTGCCTTATATTATTGCTTAAATCAAAATAAATACTAAAAAAGGAAAAAAAATTAGTTCGGACCTGATTACAGTTTATTCACAGTTATATACCTCCCAGTAGCTAAAAATAAAATTTATAACGAAGTTAGCATATTTTTAGTTGCTTTTTGCATTTTCTAGTTAAAATTGGGAAAGTTATCAATTAGTTGTTAAAATTGGATTTTAGTTTCAAAAATTCGTAAAAAAATTACAGAAAGTTGTATTTTAGTTCCTACAAGTTTATTGTTCCAGAATATAATTTTTGTTTAATTTTTGCTATCATACATGTTTAATTCCTTGTTAATGTTGAATTTAATTATTATATCGTTAATTGTAAAAATGATAATGAGTAGCTAAATTTGTTAGGGCATGAATTGAGTAAAGGAATATGGATTGACTTGTTGACCTAAAATTAGGGGGTAAAATTAATAAATTGGACTAGTTGTTTAAAATGATGAAATAGTAATTAATAATAGTTAGCCATTTTCATTAATTAAATTCTTGGAAAATTAATTCTAACTTGTCTATGAGATTAGAAATTAATTTAAGCCAACCATATTTGAGCACATTAATAAGGCCTAGAAATAGGATAATTTAATGAAAAGGATTTACATCTTGTCTATGAGAAATAAATTCAATTGCTAAAATAAAGAGTTTAACTAGTTAATGAATTTGGCTATTTTTATTAATTAAAATATTGGAAAATTATTTCTACCTTGTCTATGGGTTTAGAATATAATTTAAGCCAACCATTTTAAACACATTAATGATACCTAGAAATAGGATAAATTAATGAAGATAGTTTCTATTCTTGTCTATGAGGAAAGAAATTATTAGTCCAACTTTAGTCTTAATTTCCCTAATTAAGAGGTCCAAGAACATATCCATTTCTAATTACTCAATTCATTGCCCTTATTTGCATCCTTGAATAATCAGTCTTTATACATTAATCTTTAAATTGCACCTTGCTCCTAGTTATAATTTAGCATAATAAAGAACAAAAACACTTTCCTATATTGAAAAGGCTTCCAACGATTAGCGATAGCCCGTGACTAAAATTAAATTAAGAAACTTCTCCGCCATTCCTCAAGAGACACGACACTCGGGGAAAAACCGAAAGGTTAGACTCCGTTTTACTACAACGCCGCGAAAGCGGTTATCAAATGGCGCCGTTGCCGGGGAATGGCACGATTATTTCTTGATTTAATTCTAGCATAGGTGAATTCTAGTTAGGGAGACTTTTTCGCCCTTGCGACAATTTGTATAAAGATTTCAGGATAAATGAATGCACACCCGCTCTAAAGGAGTGGAAGGTCTAATTGAACTTGATCCTGAACCTGAACGAACTTTGTGGAAAAATCTTTCAATCCACAAGAAACCAAGCATGGCGGGAGAAAAGACGGTGTTGCAAAATCTTACGCCGAACTTCATCGAGGATGATAGTATCAGCGCACCGGCAATCGAGGCAGCCAATTTCGAAATCAAACCCGCCATTGTCAACATGATGTCCAATCATCAATTTGGCGGGTCCAAGCAAGACGACCCTAGGGCCCACATGTTGTGGTTCACCCGAGCATGCCAAACGTTCCGCTTTAACGGAGTGACCCCCGACGCCGCAAAGTTGACCTTATTTCCCTTCTCATTACGGGATAGGGCATCTTTGTGGCTGAATAGCTTTCCAACGGGTCACTTCACAACATGGGCGGCACTGCACCAAGCATTCATGCAAGAATACTTTCCTCCATCGGCAGTTGCTAAAATTAAAACAGCAATCCAAAACTTTAGGCAATTCCCGATGGAGTCCTTAAGTGAAGCATGGGATCGTTTCAAGGATATGAGAAACAAATGTCCACTCACACTGATGGATTCTAGTAGCTTGATGTTCCATTTTTACAATGGACTTCAAGTTAGTAGCAAAAAAGAACTTGATTTCTCTTCTCAGGTGGGATCATTCCTTGACATGGCACCCAACACCAACGAAGCTCTGGTGGAGAAGGTCACTTCAAATGCAAGATACTGGTATGACGAAAGAACTCCAGCAGCAACAAAACCAGGCTATCTTGAAGTTGACCAACTCACGGCCTTAACAGCAAAGATTGAAGGGTTGGTCGTGGAAGTAAAGAATCTGAAGAATGAAAACAATCACACCAACCAAGTCAACAACATCGGTGCTATCCCGAATCAACAATCATCCCGATACTTCGGGAACTCAAGCTCTGCTCCACAGTCATCTCAATTTAATACTTTTTCACCTGTTTCTCATTCAACTGAACTTGTACTCTCATGTGAGATATGTTTTGGTCCACATTTGACCAACTCGTGTCAATTAGTCGATGAATGTAATGTAAACAACAACAGGGAAGTGAACATGCTGGAGTACGGCCGAACAAAACAAGAAGGGCCATGGGCGAATCAGGGCAACAGGGGGGGTAACTCCAACTACCCTCCTCAGAATTTCCAAGGAAGGAATTACCAAGGTAACCAATGGCGGGGGGATTACAACAATGGTCCTCCTCGTGGCGGTTATCAAGGTAATCAAAACTACCCCAACAATAATCAAGGGAACAACTTCCAGAGTCGGAACCAGGGAGGTGCACCAGCCCAACAGAACAACCAAGCTTATGTGCCTCCACACCAACGACAAACGGAGGCTGCCCAGCCATCAGAGATAGGCTTGTTGGTAGCAGAACTGGCAAGGACACGGGAGGAAATAACAAGATACAAGGCCAGCACTGACAATCAGATCAAAAATCTGATGATGCAAATTAATCAGAACAATGTTCCTGGTCGTCAGCCAGGCAACTTGCCTAGCACCACGGAACCAAACCCCCGTGAACATGTGCAAGCCATCACTCTTTGAAGCGGGAGACAAACAACCGTGGCTGAGCAGAAAGACAAGGAAGAGGAAGGTACCCCGACCATGGAACCTGAGAAACAAACTGATGCTCCAACTGAGAAGAGCATGGAACCAACACGCCCTAACACAAGGGTCACTATCGTCAAACCTTCTCTCCCGTTTCCTTCACGGGTTAGAAATGATGACGATAGCAGGAAGTACAACAAATTCCTGGACCTACTCAAACAACTCCACGTCAACCTGCCGCTGATGGATGCCTTAGCGGAGATGCCCAAATATGCCAAGTTTTTCAAAGACTTGCTGACAAACAAAAGGCAGCTGCAGGAGCTCTCAGTCGTGGACTTGAACGCAGAATGCTCGGCCGTGGTTCTGAGGTCAATACCCGAAAAGCTAAAGGATCCAGGTAGTTTCACTATCCCTTGCTCTATAGACAATTTCAACTTCAATAATGCTCTAGCTGACTTAGGGGCAAGTATCAATCTGATGCCTTCCTCTATAGTCGAGAAGCTAGGACTTGGGGAAATGAAACCCACCAGGATGTGTCTTCAACTGGCTGATCGCTCAGTCAAATATCCGAAGGGAATTGTTGAAGACGTCCTGGTCAAGGTTGACAAATTCATTTTCCCAGTCGACTTTGTAGTAATGGACATGGAAGAGGATAGGGAAACACCTCTTATTCTGGGAAGGCCCTTTCTGGCTACCGCCAGGGCCTTGATTGATGTCACTGATGGCTCATTAACTCTAAGAGTCGGAGATGATCTATGCACCTTCCGACTCTCAGATGTTATGAAACACCCCACAGATTCCTTTCAAGGATGTCATTTTCTTGATACCTTTGAGTCTATTGAAGGGTATCTGTTTGGGGAAGAAAATGGACATGTAGCTGATGAAGCATGTCTGTTAAAAGAAGCCAACAGTGATGTGAGTGATGCATGCGAGAGCTGTGAGGATGCGCTGATTGATCAAGCTTCTAACGAAGTATTGATTAAGTTTGAGGGGGAGAAAAATGAACAAAACTTGAAAAACGACCACCCCCTCGAACTAAAGAAACTGCCCGACCACTTAGAATATGCATTCTTGGATGACGAAGGCAAATGCCCTGTCGTCATCGCCGCACACTTAAGTGAGGAACAAAGGGAGAAATTACTTGGAGTCCTTAAGACACACAAACAAGCAATTGCTTGGAAACTTGAGGACATCAATGGAATTAGCCCCACCTTTTGTACCCACACCATCAAAATTGAGGAAGGGTTTAAACCAGTTGTCCAACCACAACGACGTTTAAACCCAAACATGATGGAAGTAGTGCGTGCTGAGATTGTCAAACTGCTGGATGCGGGTATCATTTACCCCATCTCTGATAGCCAGTGGGTAAGCCCTATTCATGTTGTCCCCAAAAAGGGGGGAATGACCGTCATGAAAAATGAAAAGGGCGAACTTTTACCCAGTCGAACTGTTACCGGGTGGCGAATGGTAATCGATTACCGCAAACTGAACGAAGCCACCCGGAAAGACCATTTTCCCCTTCCCTTCATCGATCAATTAATAGAGAGGTTGGCAGGCCATAGTCACTACTGTTTCCTGGATGGCATGAGTGGATACTTCCAAATCCATGTCAACCCGGAAGACCAAGACAAAACTACGTTTACATGCCCTTTTGGGACCTTTGCTTTTCGTAGGATGTCTTTCGGTCTCTGTAATGCTCCTGCCACCTTCATGAGGTGCATGATTGCCATTTTTGAAAAATACATTGGCCACTTCATGGAGGTATTCATGGATGACTTCTCTATTTTTGGGGAAACGTTTGAAAAATGCCTCGAAAACCTGGAAAAAGTACTTATCCGCTGCAAGGAAACCCATTTAGCCCTAAGTTGGGAGAAATGTCACTTCCTTGTGAAAGAGGGTATAGTACTTGGACATAAAGTGTCAAGTAACGGGGTAGAGGTGGACCGTGCAAAAATTGAGACAATAGAGAAACTTCCTCCACCAACCACGGTAAAAGCCATCCGCAGCTTCTTAGGACACGCGGGCTTTTATCGTCGTTTTATAAAGGATTTCTCTAAAATCGCAAAACCTCTCACCCGGTTACTTGAAAAAGATGCGGTTTTTATATTCTCTGATGAATGTCACCATGCTTTCCAAGCACTTAAAACACAACTGATCAATGCTCCTGTGCTTGTGGCCCCGGATTGGAGTTTACCCTTTGAACTCATGTGTGACGCTAGTGACTTAGTAGTGGGGGCCATTCTTGGTCAAAGGAAGGACAAGAACTTCCACCCAATCTACTACGCTAGCAAAACTCTGTCAGGGCCACAACTCAACTACACTACCACTGAAAAAGAATTTCTTGCTATTGTTTGTGCTTTAGAGAAGTTTAGGACTTACATCATTCTTTCGAAGGTTATTATCTATACCGACCATTCGGCCATTAGATATCTCCTCCAAAAGCATGATGCTAAGCCTAGACTGTTACGCTGGGTTCTTTTGTTGCAGGAATTTGATATTGAAATCAGGGACCGAAAGGGATCTGCTAATCAGGCAGCTGACCACCTCTCGAGGTTAGATGCCGAGTTAGCAGAAACTTTCGGAAAATGCGAAATTGAGGAGCTTTTTCCTGCTGAGAGATTGATGGCGATTTCCGCCAAGGAGCAAACACCGTGGTATGCTGACATTGCCAACTACCTTGTTGGTAAAGTCGAGCCTACCGAACTGACAAGGCACATGAAAAGGCGGTTCCTATCAGAAGCAAAGCACTATTTTTGGGATGATCCATATCTATTCCGAATTTGTGCTGACCAGGTGGTGAGAAGATGTGTTACTGAAGCTGAGGCAAAGGACATTCTGGAGCATTGTCACAGCGGTCCTACTGGGGGCCACTTTTCAGGGAATAGAACCGCAAGGCGGGTTTTGGACTGTGGGTACTTCTGGCCCACGATTTTTAAAGATGCTAATGAATTTGTTTCCTCTTGTGATAACTGTCAACGAATCGGGAACATTTCTGGGCGCAATGAGATGCCCCAACACTTTATCTTACCTTGTGAGGTATTTGATGTTTGGGGCATCGACTTTGTTGGACCTTTCCCAAGCTCAAGAGGAAACAAATACATTCTTGTGGCCATTGATTATGTTTCCAAGTGGGTTGAAGCCCAAGCCTGCGTCACCAACGACTCTCGAGTAGTCGTAAATTTTCTGAAAAAGCTCTTTACCAGATTTGGTGTGCCTAGGGTTTTGATCAGCGATAGAGGGACTCATTTCCACAATGATCCAATGGCCAGAATTTTGGCCAAATATGGAGTCCAACATCGAAGCGGAGTAGCGTACCACCCCCAGACTCAGGGACAAGTGGAGAACGCTAACAGGGATTTGAAGTCCATTCTGGAGAAAACTGTTGCCCAGACCAGGAAAGACTGGTCAACTAAACTTGACGACGCTCTTTGGGCATTTCGGACTGCTTACAAGACCCCAATCGGAACAACACCTTTTCGCCTTGTATACGGGAAGTCTTGCCACTTACCCGTCGAACTCGAGCATAAAGCACTTTGGGCGATGAAAAATGTTTGTTTTAAACTGGATGCTGCAGGGAAGGAACGATTTTACCAGCTGAATGAACTGGAAGAATGGAGAGCGCAAGCTTTTCATAATTCCAAACTTTACAAGGAACGAGCCAAACTCTACCATGATCAACACATCAAAGCTCGTGATTTCAATGCTGGAGATAAAGTGCTGTTGTTCAACTCCCGGTTGAAGCTTTTTCCAGGAAAGCTTAAATCAAGATGGTCCGGACCGTTCAAGGTCATAAAAGCTTACCCCTACGGAACTGTTGAGATTGAAGATGCTAATGGGGCTCCCTTTAAAGTCAACGGCCACCAACTTAAACTCTACCATGGCGGCCCGATTGAAAAAAGCAAGGAGATTCTCTATCTCCAAAAATTTTGAACCAAGGGAGGACATTCGTCAAGCTAGTGACGTTAAAGAAGCGCTCATTGGGAGGCAACCCAACCAAAAAAAAAAAAAAAAAAAAAAAAAAAAAAAAACTAACCCAAAAATATTTTACTTTGTTTATTTCTTGCAGATGTATGGAGGAGATGACGACCCCATCTTTGAGGATGCACCACTAGGAAGGGAAGATCCGCCGCCTCAGCCCGATATCCCCTTTGCCACTATCGCAGACCGCAGACGCTTTCAGGTATGGGGACAGTACCGCACTCTCCTGGCTCCCATGATCTTAGACCAGGAGATGCTCGAGGAGTGGGGATACTGGAGTGATATTGATGCTCTGCTGGGAGACTCTTTGTGGCGGAGGATTCTACTCATACAGGAGAGTGCCAGTCTCCCGTTGACGATAGAGTTCTTGTGCTCTCTACAGTTCACTCACTATGGCCAGACTGTGCAGGAGAGTTCTGTCATTGGGTCGGAGACTCAGATGAGATTCACTATTAGGGGCATTGAGCACTCCATCTCTGTGGCTGAGCTCGGATGGAGGATGGGGCTCTATGCTCCGGCTTACACCCAGACGGATGAGTTCCGTGCTCTCTCGACCCGTCTACCCGAGGCTTTTGACGTTGAGGAGTTCTGGCGCCGACACTCCACAGACACCAGGTCGTTTCTCCGGCAGCATCCCCATTCGAACAAATGGAGAGAGACTCACTGGTATATACTCTCATTTGTACTCTCCTGTGGTCTTTTTGGGCGACCTCATAACACAAACAGGGTGTCCAAAAAGGACATTTTATTCTTTTGGAGTCTGATTCACCGTACCCCGGTGAATATGGCGGTCCTTATGGCTCGTTTCTTCCGGAGCCAGGGGAAGACTGTCCGCCGCACTATCCAGGCAGGGCCTTTCATCACTACTCTCGTTAGATCATTCTACCCAGATCTAGACATTCCGGGGCTACTGCACTTACAGGATAGCATCCGCGTTCTTCGATCCTCATCCTTTACCAACATGAGGATCAAGAAGAAGCGGAATACTCAGGAGCTCCCAGGTATTGAGCAGCCGACCCGGCAGGGTAGTTCTTCTCGACCCTCAGGACATGAGGGATCTAGCGAGCCCTTTTCAGACATGCCTAGCGCCGCAGATTGGAGAGCGATGATGGAGGGGATGCGGAGTCTCCAGACTTCAGTTGTTGAGATACGAGATGCACAGGAGAGAGGATTCCAGGAGATGCGAGATGCGCATGCGACGGCCCTAGGAGAGTTCAGAGACTTTCGATTAGCTCAGGAGAGAGCCACCCGGGATATGCAGGAGGAGTTAGAGACCCAGAGGCTAGATATTGATGAGATGAGAGACTGGCTTAGGCCACACTATGGCCCTCGGGATTACGCAGGCGATGCTTAGTTTTGCTTCTTCCTTGACATTTTTTTATTGTGTTTGTTTGTTTCTTCAGGTTGGACATTGCGCTGCTCTTTTGACTTGAATGCTCTTACAAACTGACTATGGATGATGTAAGGATTTTAAAAAACCATTTTACTCCTGTTTCATTATTCCTCTTCACAAAATCTTTTCAAAACTCAAGTGTGAGGAAAGAACCAAAAAAAAAAATGTGCCTTTATTTCCCAATTTTGTGCCTCAAAAGAAGACCTCGAGGGCGAGGTCCAGCTCAAGTGTGAGGAGGTTGCGTTTTACACTCAAAAGCTAAAACCTTATTTTAGAACAATCTTTTTACTATTTTTGACATGAAACATTAATTTCTCAATTTGTTATCAATCTCATAAATAGCTTAGATAATCACCCTTATTATAAGAATTTACTTTTATTATTATTTAGAAAACTTGAATTTGTTATGGGTTTTTGGTTGTGAATGTAAAGGGCTGAATTTGTTTTAATTGGACATTCATTTTATTCATTAAAACAAAAATGTTAGTATTAATAAAACTCCAAAACTCATTGTTATAGGACAATTCCATCTCCGAAAAGGGGCTCTGTTTCATTCGTTAATCACAGTCTGTGAGAATGAAATATGCATTTACCATGGGATAACACCGCCAACAAGAGTGAAAAAGAGCAAAAAAAAAAAAAAAATGGTGAACAAGATGAATGTCCCAATTAGAATAATGAAAACCTTGGGATAAGGAATTGATTGGTGGTTTAACATAATAAATAGTTTTTCTTAAGTAATACTAATTTTAAACTCTTGTATTTTGGGTGATTTTTCTAAAATGTTTAAAGATTGAGAATAAAAAGAAGAGGTTTTTGTTTCTACTTCTTTAAAATAGCAATTAGATTGTAATGCAGTTAGACTTTACCTTTTGAGTGTGTTTACAACTAATTCGTCGCTTGAGGACAAGCAACGCTTAAGTGTGAGGAGATTGATAAGTCCATTTTTGTACTTATTTTTCTTATCAAATTTAAGCGATTTTTGAATAAAAATAGAAAGAAAAGGCATGTTTTAGATATTTTGGTTCAAGTTTCATGAAATCAGGTGAAAATCACATTCATAATATGTTTGCCGGGATTTCGGGTCAATTGAGCACAAAATGAGTCAATTTGAGTAACAAATGAAGTCATACCGGAAGAAGTAAGCATTTTATCAAGGTGATCCAGAAGGCAATCTTGGAGAGCAAGAAACGCGGGATTTATCAGACGAATTTGGCGGAGGGCGCCCAAATAGGCGCCCAATATGGCCGCCTGGCTGGCCGCCTACGGTATATCAAAGTCAACGCTCCAGTTTGACCCGAACCTGTAGAAGACAGAAAGCGGCCGACGGAGGAAGGAAGGCGGCCGCCCTTCGTGGCCGCCTGCGGCACAACGGGACAAGGCCAACCACCGGCCGGTGCGACTTGACGGCAGGCGGCCAGACAGGAACGGCAGGCGGCCGCCGTCTGGACCGCCTGCGGCTGACGTTGACGGGCTCACGTCGACCTGCCGGTGAAGACAACGGAAGGCGGCCAATTTTGGTGGAAGGCGGCCGCCCTCTATGGCCGCCTACGGCTGACGGAGACCAGCCCACGTGTCGTTGCCGGCGAGTTGACGGCAGGCGGCCAGTTGCTGCCGGAAGGCGGCCGCCTGCCCGGGCGCCTTCGGGGAAATTTTTCCTATAAATTGCCCGATTTTTCCTCAACTCAAACACACCTCTTCCAACCCTAAATCAGTTCAAAACACCTTCTTTCTTCCTCCATTTTCGAGCTCCAAAGGTTTTAGAGAGAGAGAAACTTCAAATCTTCATATCTTCTTCATTTTAGCTCCAAATTGTAAGTTCTTTATATGTATTTTCATCTTCTCAATGTGTAGAATCTGAATCTGTGCTTTGTTTCTTCGATCTGTTCTTCGAAAATTTCCAGATTATTTTTCAAGTATTTCGCATTTCCTTCCAAAAATTAAATAAAATAGTTATTGTTGTTGAATTCATTCCAATTAATTATATAGTTGTTCACTAGCCTCAAGGTAGTTATTTATCTGAAGAAATTAATTTTTCACGAACCAGAAGTAATTTTTAATTAATTTTGATGATTATTTGATATTAGTTCATAATTTAGATTAAATACTAGAAAAGAAAGAAAAAAATGAGTTCGGCCCTATTTACAGTTTAGTTAACTTAAATATCATTACTAGTAGTTAATATAAAATTTGGTACGAATTTAGAGTATTTTGTATTAATTTTCGGTAATTGCCTTATATTATTGCTTAAATCAAAATAAATACTAAAAAAGGAAAAAAAATTAGTTCGGACCTGATTACAGTTTATTCACAGTTATATACCTCCCAGTAGCTAAAAATAAAATTTATAACGAAGTTAGCATATTTTTAGTTGCTTTTTGCATTTTCTAGTTAAAATTGGGAAAGTTATCAATTAGTTGTTAAAATTGGATTTTAGTTTCAAAAATTCGTAAAAAAATTACAGAAAGTTGTATTTTAGTTCCTACAAGTTTATTGTTCCAGAATATAATTTTTGTTTAATTTTTGCTATCATACATGTTTAATTCCTTGTTAATGTTGAATTTAATTATTATATCGTTAATTGTAAAAATGATAATGAGTAGCTAAATTTGTTAGGGCATGAATTGAGTAAAGGAATATGGATTGACTTGTTGACCTAAAATTAGGGGGTAAAATTAATAAATTGGACTAGTTGTTTAAAATGATGAAATAGTAATTAATAATAGTTAGCCATTTTCATTAATTAAATTCTTGGAAAATTAATTCTAACTTGTCTATGAGATTAGAAATTAATTTAAGCCAACCATATTTGAGCACATTAATAAGGCCTAGAAATAGGATAATTTAATGAAAAGGATTTACATCTTGTCTATGAGAAATAAATTCAATTGCTAAAATAAAGAGTTTAACTAGTTAATGAATTTGGCTATTTTTATTAATTAAAATATTGGAAAATTATTTCTACCTTGTCTATGGGTTTAGAATATAATTTAAGCCAACCATTTTAAACACATTAATGATACCTAGAAATAGGATAAATTAATGAAGATAGTTTCTATTCTTGTCTATGAGGAAAGAAATTATTAGTCCAACTTTAGTCTTAATTTCCCTAATTAAGAGGTCCAAGAACATATCCATTTCTAATTACTCAATTCATTGCCCTTATTTGCATCCTTGAATAATCAGTCTTTATACATTAATCTTTAAATTGCACCTTGCTCCTAGTTATAATTTAGCATAATAAAGAACAAAAACACTTTCCTATATTGAAAAGGCTTCCAACGATTAGCGATAGCCCGTGACTAAAATTAAATTAAGAAACTTCTCCGCCATTCCTCAAGAGACACGACACTCGGGGAAAAACCGAAAGGTTAGACTCCGTTTTACTACAACGCCGCGAAAGCGGTTATCATGTGCGTTGCATGTGTTGAGGGGGAGAAAAGGGAGAAAATAAAAGAGAGAGGAATACTTTGAGGGGGAGAAAAGAAGAAAATCAGCAAAAGTGTGTGTGTGTGTGTGTAGAAAATCAGAAAAGAGAGAAAAAGAGTGTGTGTGTGTGTGTGTAGAAAATCAGAAAAGAGAGAAAAAGAGTGTGTGTGTGTTTTTCATTTTTTTCATGCACGTTTCGAGGGGGAGTTTTAATCTGAGAGAGTTTTTTTTTAATAAATTCTCGCTAGGGGCCCAAAATTTTAAAATTCTCTGAACTGGGCCCGCTCTTGACATTTGGGCCCAGATTACTTTTCACAAGGCCCAAGTTCCAACTTTTCGCATATAAAAGGAGACTTCGAGAACAGTTTCTCGCATAAATCTCATTTTCTCGCATCTTAAGTTCTCGAAGTCCAGCATCCTTCTCGCAAACTGATCTTCACATCTCAAAACTTCTCGAATCCATCCAAAAGGTGGTATTTCAAGTTCTCGAGCATCAAAAATAACTTTCATATGATTTTCGCACAAAATGCACCGGTTCTCGAATCAAAACTTGAAAGGAATTTCTCGTTATTGGACCTCGAGAACCCTCTTTCTCGAACTAATAAACTGAACATCGAAAAGTTTTTATATATGTTTTTGCAGGTGGTTCTCGACATTTCTCTGAGTATGAACTCGAGAAATTCACTTTCTCGATGTTTAGAACTCGAGATCAATTTCTCGATATTTCAAAATTCGAGGTTCGGTTCTCGATATTAAACCTCAAAAGAGTCTTTTCGATGTTTAATTCCGAGAACCTACTTCTCGAAGTTGGAAATACCGAGAAGAGGTTCTCGATACTAAACCTCAAGAAGATGGTTCTCGATGTTTAAATCTCGAGAAGGACTTTTCGATACTTCCATATCGAGAACCAAGTTCTCGATGTTTGAGTATCGAGAAGAGCTTCTCGGTATTTAAACCTCGAGAACCTACTTCTCGATGTTCAAACCTCGAGAAGTTGGTTCTCGTGGTTTGCACTCAGAAATTTTTCTCGAGGTCCCACCAGTACACACCTGGTTTGAGAAATTGCAAAAACAGAACAAAAATAAAACTTTTCATTTGAACAATGTGCTGACCCAATGTCTTCAGCTAATCATGTCAGGAACAACCAAGAATACACAATCAAGCAATGAACTGTACCCAAAAGAGAACTGGGTCCCACTTTATGACAACAACTTCTAATTGGACCTGAAGTTTTTCAAGTGTCAGGACCCAGTCATTCTCTCCATACTGCAGAAACATTACCTCTAGCTAGCATTCAGTGAAGCCAAACCAGTACCAATGGTGTATCTACAACAGTTCTGGGACCTGATGCACACAGCCTCAGAGAAGGACAGGTCGAAGATAATGACCAAACTAAATGACGTGCGAGTGGTGCTGACACCATCAACAATCAGGGAGACACTAAAGCTCCCAGTGCTCAAAAACTACGCACCACTCCCCTCAAATGAAGAGCTGATCAAGGGGATGAAAGATCTTGGATACGACAGCCCACTGCCTTTGCTGTCAAATTTCACAATCTCCAACTTGCCCCATCCATGGAAGAGTCTGTTCGGCCTGGTGAACAAGTGCCTATCTCCAAAGCACGCCGGACACGACAAGTGCAACAAGCAGATCCTACAAATCTTCCATGGAATTGCCTTCAACATACAGTATGATATGGCCCAGCTCTTCTGGACAGAGCTAATGGATCAGGTGAAAATGAAGAGGAACAAAGGAAGCACCATACCTTACGCTCGGTGGCTGGCTCTGATGATCCACAATATAATGGAGGCCACCCCGACAATGCCAAAGCGTAAGGATGACAAGCATTTCACCGCCCCAAAGCTCAAGTACTTTCAGAGAGACAGCATTAAAGCTGAAGCACTGCCAATCCCGGACTCTCTGCTCAATCTAGCAAACCCGAAGGACAAGGCAGTCATTGACTACAAAGAGTCGCTGAAGAGAATGGTCCCTAGGGTTCAGCAAAACCCAACTGGACCTTCCCAAGGGATCAAGCCGAATGAACGTGAGGGTAAGAAGAAGAGAGCCCCGCCACAGAAACCAGTGGCAACCCGGCCTAATGATGATCAGTCTGCTAACTCTTCCGAGAGGACCCAGACTGCTGAGGGCCACCCTATCAATGCTGAGGACACTGCCGATGAACCATCAAGCCAGGCCCCTTCAAATAAGGCTGGTGGTGAGGCCTCTGATAGCATGGCCAAGGGAAAGAAGAGGAATGATGATGATGATGATGATGCAGATAGTGATGATGATGATATGGAGGGAGTCCTGATCAGCAACAGGAAGAGAGCCGGAAAGAAGGCCATCCGGATAGACTCCGACTCCTCATCAGAAAACATAGAGGCTGCTCTCACACCTCGACCGCTCAAAGGCATTATCATAAGTGAGCAGCGCTCAAAGCAGAAAAGCGACAAATCTGCATCATCACAGCCTAAGAAGAGGCTAAGAAAGAAGAGTGCAGTGGAAGAGGAGCTGGCACTGTACGATGACTGCGACACCTTCGTCACCATAGACCGAACCACACCCCTAGCAGCAGGAGCTGACCTTGTCAGTTCCCGAGTAGAAGTCGCAGCATCCGGTTCAACTGCGCATGCACAGCCATCTCCCATCCACTCTCCAGTCTCCCAACAGACTGGAGTTTCAATAACTCAAGGGGAACTTACACCGACCTCACTGATTCCCTCCGAATCTGCTGAGAGACTTAGTGGTCAACAGCCCCGGACCACTACCCCCATTCGTTCTAGCACATCGAGTCTAGGTGTCACCATTCCTACATTTTCACATTTCTCTAGGACACCTACACTATTCACTGCACATACAGGTGTACTCACCCTGAATGCAACGACCGGAGTGCAAACTATGATGGTCGGAAGCCCTGCTACACCAACAATGCCTCGATCATTGAACGCAGGCCACACATCAGCTATCTTCACTGATGCTGTGACAACAGTTACAACCCCTGTAACTGGTACCACCATTCCCGAAGACATTCTCGTATATCTGAATAGCTTTCTAGAGTCTACCATTAAACCATGGGTGCATGAAGCAATAACCGCTAATGCACAAGACTCTGGAAGTACCCCAGTTGTTCAGGATATACCACCCAAACCCCAAACAACACAGCCCCCAACCATTTCCATTCCTATTTCCAAACCCCTAGCCATAGACAACCAACAACCATCCACATCAAGGGGAACCCAGGATACAGAACTAGTATTTTCCCCTACAACGACCAAACCTAACCTAACAACCGTACCCTTCGAGGATCTTGTAGCTGAGATCTACGACCGCATACTAGACGTGAAAGAAGGCAACCTCACCCCCCTTCAAAAAGCCCTTCTCCATGCTCTAGATACACAGAACACATGCCGTGACAGTCTCCGTGGCGCTAAACGTTCACATGAGGATCCTGATGATTCGGATTCTCATGAGGGGGAGAACAAGCGCCAGCGGATACTTGAGCATGTTTCTTCTACTAGCCAACCCTCAAAGCCAAACCAACCCTCCACCTCTACCAATGAGCAACCCACTACTTCAGCTAGCCATAAATCCCTAGCCACTCTCTCTAGCATGGTCGAGCTAGACATAACATCCCGAGGTACATCTCCTATAGATGTTGACCAAGGACGGAATGGAAGTCCTGATGATGCTACCACGAGTACATCTTCCTACTTAGGCCATCAGCCAGAACCTAGTTCGAAACTGATGTCAGCGGGCAATCCTGAGGATCCCGGTGTTACACCCGACTATCATCACCTCCGCAACAAGAACAAACTCCGTCCAGTCCCTCGGACAAACTTGAAGAAATCCTAGTATATGACAGGTGGCCTCGTAAGTGGACTGAATGGGATGATCTGAGAATGGAAACAGAACAAGATGACATGCAACGGGATTGGATGCTTATGGAGCTTCTTAGAAGATGTGCTGAAGAGATGATTGGGCTCGACAAAGACGAGATAAAAGAAGGAGAAAAATACAAGGAGCCTGAATCTGCCACTAAGCAAAAGACTACTTCGAAACCTCTGGACAGCGTCAGAATCAAGACCCCCTTTCTGGAAGAAATCAGAGAGCGAATTTGGCGCACACCTGAGAAGATCAAGACCTACAGAGAACTCAGGATGCGTGACATCAATCACCTCAAAGGAAGAGACAGAGGTGGAAGCTTGTACATGCTAGGACACAGATCCACGGGAGAACGACAACAGATTTTGAATCATAATC